GCCGGCTACAGCGCAGCAGCTCTGGGGACGCGGGCCGCCGCCGAGCAGTGCAGCCGCCCGAGACGCCAGGCGCAGGGGGCGCGGGCCGGGGCAGCGCGCCGTTGTCCATCGCGCCCGCATTCACTCGCTCGCCAATTCCTCTGAGGCCCGGCTCCCCGCCGGAAGATGCGGGCAGAGGAACAGGGATTGGTGGGAAACGGTCGTGGCCCAAGGGAGCCTCTGGTACTGCGCCGCTGAGCGGCTCCCCAGGGTATGCGTCCCAGGTCGTCCGGGGCCCTGGGACAGCAAGACGCAGGAGGCCGAGAGGTCGCGGGCCGTGCGCTCCGGGGAGCGTGGGGCGCTCGTGTCCCGCGCGTGCGGTCGGACGCTCCCCAGGTCTTCCTGGCGCGGCGCAGGCGGCTCGTTTTTAAATGTATAGATAACCCTCCTCCGCGCCGCCGCCGCCTCCTTTCTCACGCCCTCCTTCCCTTGCCTCGCCCTCCCGCCACACTTCGCCCTCCCCCTTGTGCACACAACCTGCAAAGACCAAGCTGTGAGCGCGCCCCCAACTCCGTCCCCCGGGCACAGTCCGCAGGTGACCGGTGCGACCCCCCGCTTCCAGCAGGTGCTCAGTGCGCCCCCCCCAAGACGCAGTACGCAGGTCCCGTGTGCGCCCTCCACCTCAGGCTGCTGTCCCAAGGTCCCCGGTGCATGACCCAACCCCCCGACCTCCCGGCGCTGTCAGCAGGTCCCCGGTGCGACCCCCGTCGCCCGAGCGCAGTCCACAGGTCCCGGGCGCAACCGTCGGTACCCCGACCCTACCCCCGTGCGCAGCCCGCAAGTCCCCCGTGCCACCAATCGGTCGCACGCGCAGCGCGCGCCCTGGGGGAAGGGCGTGGCCGCGGCGACAGCGCAGGTGTCCGATAGGCGCGCGAGACCCCCGGGGGCAGCACGCGCCTCGCCGTCCGCACCCGCGCCCCGCCCCGCTGCGGCCGAGGGGCGGGGGCCGGGGTCTCAGCCAATCTCGGGCCGCCCGTTCAGCCAATCGCGGCGGGCGCGGCCCCACTCCCGGCCCCTGGGAGGAAGAGCGTGCGCCCGGCGCGTGGCTCTCGGGCGCGTGGCTCTCGGGTGCGTCGGTAACAAAGCTGGGCTCCTGCGTGGCCACGTCCAGCCCCTCTCCCAGACCAGGTGGGCGGGCACCCCACGTACACCTGTTCTTTGGGCCGGCGCCCACTTGTATATTCCTCCACCAGGAATGGGAGAGGGCGACGCAGCCCTTCGGGCAGGGCGGGACTTCAGCAGTGGTCGAGACAGGGCGAGGGGGATGGGGGAGATCAGGTTCCTGGGGCGCCTTCCCCCCATTCCCAACGCTCACCGTCTGCCTGTGGTTTCCGTGCGCCCTGGGCCTTGGGGAGCCTTGAAGTCGAGGGCCTGGAGGTTTGCACCGACCCCTTCGGACCAGGGGCGGTCAGCCTTCTTCTGCCGTCCCCGCAGCTGCCTCCGTTTACCATATCCCCTTCAAATCTTCCTGCCTTCCTGGTCCCGTTCTCTCTGGCCGCTCACCTGTCTGTGCCTACCCGCTCTCATGGCCCTGGCTCCTTCCTCAGTGCCATGCCTCTGGCCTCAGCTACCCATCCTCCGCTAGGGCCTCGCTCTCCCGCCCACCCCTGGAGATTGGGCCGGTGGGGGAAGGTCGCTGGGGCAGCAGCCTTGTGCCAGCTCAGGCCGGGGCTCCAGGGGAAGTGGGACTTCGAGTTTCTCCCTGACCGATGAAAATTTCGGGGTCTGAGGGAGCAGGAGCTGCGGAAGTGTGCAGAATGCACCGTTAATGGGAGAGTTTTGTCCTGCCCCAAGGACAGGAACATCAGCCAAGTGGCCATGCCCTCAGGAAGCCATAGCCTGGCAGGTTTTTCCCAAAAGTGACCAGACCCTCCTGGGCCAGGACCTCTGGGAATGGATGGTGCGGTAGCCGGGCTACCTGGAGCCACCTGCTGTTCTGGCTGCTGGGAGGACCAGGGCCCCTTTCCAGGGAGCCCGCAGGGCAGACAGAGCGTATTTAGTGCCTGCCTTGTGGTGCCCACTAGCTCTCCTTACTCGCAGGATTCTCCTGGCAAGTCGGCTTGGCCTTCCCGCTCTGGGGAGTGACCTGGAGGCTAGTACCTGCCTGGAGCCAGGTGGGTGTGGGGCCCCATGTGTCTTAAGAGGAAGCTGACTCAGAGTACCTGGAATGTGTCCACAGTCACACCTCTGGCCAGGGGAGCGATCCAGATAGAAATCAGGGCCCTAGCTGAATCCGGGTGGGTTGACCTTCTTCCCAGGCCGGGACAGAAGCCCTGGCTCACCTCTGCATGCTCTCCCTGGTCAGAGGCTGACCCCCCCTTCCCTGACAGTCACTTGGCAAACCCAGCCAGACATGGAGCTGCCTGTCCTCCCTTCCCTGCCCATGTCAAGGGTGCCAGGAAAAATCCCAGAGTCCTGCAAAGGGGCTTTGACAATCCTTGCCTGGACTTCTGCTCAGCCTCTGGGGCCTGGACACCCTCAGTTATCTATTGCCGCAGAATAGACTACCCTGGTTCCAGTGGCTTTAACAATGGGTCTTATTTCTCAGGATTCTGTGGGTTGGTGCGTGGTGCCTCTGCTGGGTTGGCCTGGCTCACTCCTGTAGCTGCATTCCACTAGGAGGACGGCAAGCCGGCTGGGGAGCTGGGTCTCGCTCTCCATGTGGTCCTCGTCCTGCTCTTCTTCCCATCTGGCTTATTTCACTCGGCACAATGTCCTCAAAGTTTATCTACGTTGTAGCGTGTGTCAGAAGTCCCTTCTTTGTTAAGGCTGAATACTCCATTGTACATACATACAGTCATGTACCGCATAATTACGTTTCGGCCAGTGACAGACCGCATATACGACGGTGGTCCCATAAGATTAGGATCATATAGCCTAGGTATGTAGGAGGCTATACCATCTAAGTTTGTGTAAGAACAGGGGCCGGTCCGGTGGCTCAAGCGGTTAAGTGTGCGTGCTCCGCTTCGGCGGCCCGGGGTTCTCGGGTTCAGGTAACGGGCGTGCACCGACGCACCGCTTGTCACGCCATGCTGTGGCGGCATCCCATATAAAGTAGAGGAAGATGGGCACAGATGTTAGCTTGGGGCCAATCTTCCTCGGCAAAAAAAGAGGGGGATCGGCATCGGATGTTAGCTCAGGGCTGATCTCCCTCACACACACAAAAAAAGAACACTCTGTGATGTTCACATGACAATAAAATCGCCTAGCGATGCATTTCTCAGAACACATCCCCGTCGTTAAGCGATGCATGAGTGTACCACGTTTTGTTTATTCATTCATCCATCAGTGGACACTTGGGTTGCTTCCATCTTTTGGCTATTATGAATAATGCTGCCATGAATATGGATGCACAAGTATCTGTGAGTCCCCACTTTCACTTCTTTTTGGGGTATACCCAGGAGTGGGATTGCTGGGTCATAGGATAATTCTATGTTTAAATTTTTGAGGAACTTCCTTACTGTTTTCCACAGCAGCTGCACCATTTTACATCCCAGCAATGCACAAGCGTTCCAATTTCTCCACACCCTCACCAACATTTGTCATTTTCTGGTATTTTTTTATAATAGTTTTTTTGATACTAGCTAATGGGTGTGAATTTTAATTTTTTTTAACCACCTAAAAATGTGACAACCATTCTCCGCTTACAGGCAATACAGAAACAGGCAGTGGGCCGCATTTGGCCGTGGTTTGCTGACCCCTGCTCTAGATGACAGCATGACCACGTGACACCTGGACCGCACCATGGTCAGCCCACAGGCTCCTCAAATTCAACTCCCCACAGGCTGAACTGTCCTTTTCTCTAAGCAGACTGCTCCGCCTAGGCCCTCCTCAGAGGAGGTCACCCCACCCAGCCACTGCTCCCACCATCCCCTTCATCCACATGTGTCCCTTCGACAGCTGTGTCACCATCTTGCCCTTAGATGCAGCTTCTGCCTCCACCCTGGTCTCCTGGGTTCTGGCTTTGCCTACTCCCGTCTGTCTGCCGCCTGGAAGCGGGAGGGACCTTACAAGGCGAGTTGGATCATGCCTCAGGATCAAGTCTGAGCTCCTTTGCACGCTGCCACCACCCTCCACCCCCGCCCCACTGGCCTCCTCTTCAGTTTTAATGTCACAGCGGGGGTGCCAGGCCCTTTCCACCTCCAGGAGCGCGAGGTCTGCCAGGAAGCATGTGTCGGAAGACCCCCGCCTACCTGGAGCAGCACCGACTGGGAGAAGCACAATGTGAACCTCATACGCCGCTTTAAATTATCTAATAGCCACATAAAGAAAACAAACTAAAGAGGAAGAGTGAAAATGAAGTTTAATAATATATTCTAAGTGAATGCGTTTCAACATGTAACCAGTATAAAAGTTATTAACGAGATAGTTCACATTTTCTTTTCATACTAAGTTTTCGAAACCGATGTGTATTTTTTGTACTTATGGTGCATCTCAGTTCGGACTGGCCGCATTTCCAGTGCTGAATAGCCACATGCGGCTGGTGGCTGCCGCATCGGATGACACAGGTCTGGACTGAGGGAGCGTGAGCCCCATTGCAATACTACATTTTCTAGTCTGTGTTTGATGCATTGACAGCTTGGGGCTTTGCTGACCTGGAGAGACTGCCCTTTCCAGGGCTAGCCAACTCCTAGAGGTCACGAAAGCCTGGCCTGCAGGCTCACCTTTCATAGGGGAGCCAACCAACCCAGAGCCCACGTCCCCACCGCCTCCTCTATCAAGGTCTCACACTCAGGACCACTATCCCCTGCCCTGATCATCCTGTGGCCAGCTACCAGACAACTAGGGACAGCCCCCAGTCCCCAAATTCACTGAAATTATTCAAACTAGCCAACCCTAAGCCTGCTTCCCCCTCCTCATCCATTCCTTCCCATGGAAACCACAATAAAGGCTGTTGCCCACATTTCCCCCTCACTCCCTCTGCCTTCTGATGCCCCCGGTGCTTCCTCATGTGGCCTGCTTGGCATCATCTGCCCCCTCTCTTGGGAATGGTGAGTGAGAAACCATCTTTTCAATGGCAGCCGTCTCCTGATGGGTTGGTCTGGCCATAGCTGAATAACAATAAAACCTACCTTTTAAAACACCCGTTGCCTCAGGTGACAGACAGGTAAACTGAGTC